CAGTTCTAAAAGGCGACACCTTCCATTTACCTGTGTCCATATCCATCCATGTCCATATTTTAATGCAGATAAAGAGTTACACGGAAATGTTACAGCACGAAAACAGTCCATTTAGCCCAACTAATCCACGAGCCTCCATTCTTCCTATTCCCCTCTCCTCCACCCTCTATTGCCTTCTTCCTCGTGCCAATTCGTGGCTGTTTTGTGGGGCGTCGCTGTGTGCAAATGGGCTGCCAGGATACACCTAGATAAGAACTGCAGCCTGCGGAACACTTTGTGACGTCGGTAACAAATACAAAGATTATAGACTAACAATAACCCTCCTGTTGGATATAATGGGATTGGCGTTTGGTGAAGCGCTCTGGGACGCTACTCTACGTGAAGGACGCTATGCAAATGCAGGTCGTTAACACTGTTGTTCCTCATGCAACGCATTTAATTTTCTCCTGAATACACGGACGCTGTTTGACTCCAACCCACAGCTTCCAGTGTTGAGTCTCACCACATCACAACGCGGGCAACTCCCCCCCACCCTAGCGCTGGACTGGAACGACAGCCTAGATTACGGTGATCTCAAACTTGGGGGCTCGAACCCACAACCGCCTGACCCCGATGGGGGAATTTGGAAAGAAAGAATTGGCTGCTGTAAAAAAATAAATAATAATTGGCAATGGCACAGCTGGAGCAGTGTGTTGGCACTCGGCCTCTTCGTCTCTTGCACCTCGGTTCCAATTCAGACCCTGCCCTGGGATGAAAGTCTCTTCACTGTTGCCTTTAAGGATCCTACATGAAAGGAAGCCTGAGCAGATCCTGGAAGGAGTGGGCTCAGTGCAAAGTCATGCCCACAACTTGGTTACACGTTAGCACTAACTTGGCAACGCCACTCACACGTGATGAGAGGACCTGGGTTCGATTCCCGGGCGGGCAGGGCGAAACATTGGGCAAGTTTCCTTACGATACACGTACGCCTGTGTTTACCCAGAAGTAAGTAGAAGCCCGGTTGTTAGTCTATTGGCGGATGGCTTTTTTCCAGGGGGCAATAATTCCTTCAAAATAATAATAATAATAAATCGGTCACTTCAATCCGCGACTGTTTGTGGGGACGTCGCCGGGCGCAATCGGCTGCCGCGTTTCACCCACAAAATATACAGTCAACTCACTTTGCAATGTATCCCGTGAAGCGCTTTGAGACGTCTCAAAGACATGATAAGGCTCTGTGTCAAATGCAAGGATTAGGATTATTATTATGTAGGGATGACTGACATTGAGATAGGAATGAATTGAGCCTCACGTTGGAACTGAGGCACATTGGGTGGGGAGGGAGCGAAGGGAGGGAAGGAGCCGGGAAAGGAAGGAGGAAGCTTCGTTCCGCACGAGGGATCGTAGGACGCATCTGATACAGCGCCTTAGCACGTCGTTGAGACATCTTAAGATGCTTCACGGAATCTATTGTGAAGTGTAGTGACTGTGTATTTTGGTTCTTACCACAGGAAGAGATCTGACAAACTTTGTGAGCCCTCCTGCAACAAAAAATGGAAAGAACTGTCCCCCTCCCCCCACCACCCCAAATTTCACCAAGTCCTGTCCTGTAAGACTCTCTTGCCTTAAAATTCAACAAAAATTGGGGCAAAACTTCTGGAAACCAGGTTTCTGTGTTCCCTCATTGGAAACCAGTTATAATTATATAATAATCCATACATTTGGTGCAGCGCCTTTCAGGTCGGCCGAGGGTGTCGGAGCACTTCACATGTTTGACCGTAAAGTGGAGTGACTGTGTATTTTGTAGGCGAAACTTGGCTAATTTTATCTGAGGGTTGGTAGCCAGGAGACAGAGAAAGAGAGAGAGAGAGAGAGAGAGAGAGAGAAGAAAATCCCTTGNCTTTTTCAACAGCGCCGCAGGAGATCTCAAGCATCCTCATGAACGGGGCACAGACGAGGAGTGAGGTTAACGTCTCATCCGACGGACGGAGTCTCCGACAATGGAGAGCTCCCCCCATCGATGTACTGGAGCCGAGGCCTGGAATAGATGAGAGCAAACCACGAGAGGGTTACTGACTGAACCAGGCCGAGTTACAATCGGACATAAGGGACTTCCACAATTCAGCGCTATCTTAAATTTCAAGACAAATTGATAGAAACAACAATAATTCAGTCACTCGATCCACGACTGCAATTGGCTGCCGCGTTTCGCCCACAAAATACACAGTCAATTAATTCACTTTACAGTCTATCCCGTGAAGCGCTTTGAGACATCTCGACAACGTGATCAGGCGCTGTGTCAAATGCGAGGATTATTATTATTATTATTATTGACCGAGACCGAAGGGTGGCGATGGGTGAGTGGGTTGACACGAGTTAACAGTGAGCAGGATTGCCCAGCCTCCAATAACACAGCATTTTGGTGTGTGCGCATGTGATAAGCATTTAATGAGGGACGTAAAGATGATCTCTGGAGATGAGGCAACATTCAAACATGGACAGCAATGTGCAAACAAAGCCATTCGAAAGATACAAGGAGCTGGACAGAAAAGCAAAGCCACATTTGGGTTACTGATTAACTGAAGGGGTTGAGTTTTATTGATAAGTGGTAGGTTTTGGGCAGGCTGTGCTCGGCACAGAAACACTGTGCTGTTTGCCAATAGCAAGCAGTCAGTTAATGTTTTCCCCAGAAAATCTGTGCTCTATCTAAATAGCGCACTCAAGGCGCAGTTGAGCCAGGAGGTCAGACTGATTTCACAGGTGTAAAAAGGTAGTAAAGCACGTACAGACTTAGTCCAAACCATCAGCAAACTGCTGTGACCTCGAAAGAGAGAGAGAGAGAGAGAGAGAGAGAATAAGAGAGGAAGATAAAAAGAATGAGAGAGAAGAAAAGAGAGAAAAAAGAAAATAATAATAATAATCCTTGCGTTTGATCCTTGATTCTGATGCGACAGAAATAGAAAGAGAGAGAAAATGGAGCGAGAGAGAGAAAGATAGTAAGAGAGAGAGAGAGAAAAAAAATGGTTGAGAGAAGGCTTGTGAAACCTAAGAGGGAGGGATGGAGAGAGAGAAAGAGAGAGAGAGAGAGAGAGAGAGAGAGAGAGACGGAAGCTCCGAAAGGGAGAAACGGGGACAAAACGAGAGAGAAAAACGCAGACAGGAGCCAACTTGCTGGGGAAACTGTGTCAGGCGGGTGTGAGTTCGAGCTCCCGGTAACTCTCAACGCTGGTTTCAAACCATCTGCAATGCAGCTTCCCATCAGCACAGGATTCTCCGCAGTCCCCACCCTGTCTTGCCTGTGGGTGATGGCACAGCACATCGCAGCACAACCAGCACACTCCACGCTCAGCAGCTTAGCTGAATCTCGGACTCACATTAAAACCGGAGGACAATTAAATTAATTCCCAGTGTGAATTGCAAGCAGGGAGATGGGGCGAGGCGGGCGGGGGGGGGGGGGAAGGGAAAGAGGGGCTTGGGACCGAGAGAGGGTGTGGATGGTTGGGAGGGGGGAGGGAACGGGGGAAAGGGAAAGAGTGGTTCGGGAAAGGACCCGGGGGCCAGAGAGGTAGGGGGGTCAGGCCGAGAAAACGGAGTTAACAAAATAGACGAGATGGAGAGGAAAATAATAATAATAATAATAATAACAATCCTTGCATTTGATACAGCGCCTGATCACGTCTCCGAGACGACGTCGCACAATATACTGTAAAGTGGAGTGACTGTGCATTTTGTGGGCGAAACACACGGTTGAAGAGGGACCAGAGAGTGTGAGAGAGCGAGAGAGAGAGAGAGAAGAGACGGGCACACTGACAGAGAAAGATGTGAAGGAGAATAAGAGAAGGGCCAAGTAATAGAAAGATTTACTCGAAGGAGAGAGTCAGTTAGACAGACAGACAGACAGACAGACAGACAGACAGACAGACAGACAGACAGACAGACAGACAGACAGACAGACAGACAGACAGACAGACAGACAGACAGACAGACAGACAGACAGACAGACAGACGAAAAGAGAGTTAAATTGGCTACGGAATCGAAGCGAGATGAGAGAGACTTTAGTTCATAAAAACAAACCAAATTAAATTAATAGAACATTATATAACATACTTTGATCATCGCTATTAGAAATACTGAAACATAATTCTATTAATATCGACTTCCTCACAAAAAATTATATTACAATTCAGAAGTATAAAAATAAAAACTTTATAATTCCCCGAATAGGTTTGTCTCTGACCCAAGATTACATTACGCACGTGACATTATTTTAAAGTATACACATTCAGAGGGACAATTTAATGTTATATATATGTGACGTAGAAAAATATATTTTTGGATGTATATTTACTGACACATAAAATAAAAATTCTATCCCTGGGCAGCAGAAATCCCTTGTACAGAATTGGTGGTTGGAAATTACCCCTGGGGTCCACATCCACTCTTATCTTATTTACTCTTATTGCTTTGAGACGTCTGGAAGACCGGAAAGGCGCTATATCAAATGCAAGGATTATTATTATCGCTATTATTATCATTATTATTATTATTTGTAACTCATTCAGCGCCTTGGGACGTCCTCCCGACGTGAAAGGTGCTACACAAATGTAATTTGTTGCTGCTGTTGTTTTTCTTTTGAGCCCCTGGACTTTGGCAAATTCTTAAAGAGTCTTTTTGGTTTCGGTACGTTTCTCTTAAGGACCTTGTTCGACTTCGAAGCCAAGATTATGCTAATAATAATAATAATGATAATCCTCGCATTTGACACAGCGCCTGATCCCGTCTTCCAGACGTCTCAAAGCGCTTCACAGGATAGACTGTAAAGTGTAGTGACTGTATATTTTGTGGGCGAATCGCGGCAGCCAATTGCGCACAGCGGCGTCCGCCACAAACAGTCGCGGATTGAAGTGACCCAATTATTATTATTATTATTTATTTCGAGACTGCTTTATTTTTTAACCCCCCCCCCTCCTCCTCCCCCCCCAAAAAAAGAGAATTTGCCAAATCCTGCTCTCTCTCTCTCTTTCTTTCTCTCTCTCTCTTTCTAAAACGCCGCATCAATAAGAGTTTAGATGTGGAGCCCCGACCGAATTTCTCCCCCACACAGAAGTCCATTTAACACTGAAGGGCAATGAGATCGGGCCCAAGACAAGTGTCCATCACAGATGCACCAAGTCTCCCTCCAAACCGCAGCCGCTCTGCCAGACACGCCAGCTTCCCCCCACCCCCCAAACCCTCCTCGATGCTCCTCACAAAGAGCCGAAGGTCTTTCCGTCCAACACTCTCTCTCCCAGCCTGTAGAGGAGCTTGGCGTACCAGTGGATCCCGCTGGGCTGCTGGGTGCCGTTGCCGTGCCTGGCCTGGACGGACGGCAGCAGAGGAGTCAATGAGTGGAAGAGTCTGAGCGGCGCGAAGGCCAGGTGGGCCCAGCGGTGGTTGTCTATCACGGCGTAGCAGGACGCCCACACGCCGTTGACCAGCAGCGTGCCGTGAGCGGTCAGCGGCGCGTACACGCCCGAGCCTTCCTCCGAGAAGGCTGACCTGATGCGAGCCGGGCGCAGGCGGCCGGCCGGCGCGTCCCTCACCAGCACGAACTGTCCCGTCCGCGCTCGGCCGGCGAAAACGGGCCGGAAGCCGGCCGTGTCCTGCGTCCGGTTGTCGGAGACGAAGACCAGGTGGTCGGCGGTCAGGGCCAGCCGGCTCGGCGGCTCCTCGGTCTCCAGTACGGTGAACCGGGTCCTCGAGCGCCTCTCCACGTCCAGGAAGAGGAGGACCTGACTGGGCACCAGCCGGCCGTCGACGTCCACCGTCAGGACGTTCTCCCCAGGGCGCAGCTCGGACACGGCCCTCGACTCCCCGTTCTCCAGCGTCACCCGGGCCTGCGAGGGGAAACAGCCTCCGGTCTTGGTCGCCAGCGAGTTATCTGGGAGGCAAAAAGGAGGGAGAGAGTCAGCGACCAAGGTCGACCCAGCGCCTCGCACAAGCGGTCCGACTGTGGCCGGCTCGCGGGGCCGGAGGTCAGGGAGTAGATGGCAGCGAATCTCGGGGCTCAGTGGTCAGGGAGCTGGCCTCACAAGCGAGGGGAACCGGGTTCGATTCCCGGGTGGTGAATAAACCTTAGGCAAGTTTCCTTACTTCACACGCACACGCACGCATGCACGCACACACACACAGATACACACACAGAGACACACACACTGATACACACACACGCAGATAGACACACGGATACAAACACACAGAAACACACACAGATATACTCACACAGATATACTCACACACACACAGATACACACACAGATACACACACCACACAGACATACAAACACACACCTACACACACCACAGTAGGTAGGAGCCCACAAAATACACGGTCACTCCACTTTACAGTATATTCTGTGAAGCGCTTTGAGACGCCTCGACGATGTGATAAGACCCTATATCAAAATGAAAGGATTATTCTGGTTATTATTATTATTATTATCATTATAGCTCTGTTGCCCAGTCGGCTGTGTGACTTTGAGACATCCTCCCGATGCGAATATACATATATAAATAGAAATCTCTGTTGTAGACAGAGAGGGGAGCCTTGCCTGAGATTGTGTCCTTGTGAGAGGAGAAGGGAGAATCATACAACTGAGCAATCCTCCCTGGCCACCAAGCTGGGGGGAGAGGGGAGCGGAGAGAGGTGGTGGGGGGGGGGGGGGGATGGAACGGAGGGAGGTAAGTGGGGGTGGGGGTGGTCGAAATATGTTTGACAGCACCATCACAGGGTAATGTCGTGAGATAGACCTTGCAAAGGGGTGGGGGTGGGGGGTGAGGCCGGGAGCCAGAAGCTCCCTGGATTGGGCGATATGGAGAGAAAGTATTAAAAATGAAACAGAAAATAATGGCTTTGGATGCTCGAGGCTGTTGGCAGGTTGTTGGCAACGCTGGGGCGAAAACTCAATCTTCTGCTCACATTGGCCACAAGGTGAAAATATTCCCACAGCAGCAGCGATGCATGCTAATCCGTGAAATACCCTCCTCGTTCCGAGCAGGAGAGTTGGTGAGAGCTCCACGGAGACGAATCAATTCCGTTGGGAGCCGGAAATGTTTTATATTACCAGGTCACTCTGAATTGGGTCGTTAACGTGGAGCTCCGTGAGCTCGGTGGTTCGAGGGCTCGCCTCGCAAGCAAGCGAGAGGGCCTGGGTTCGAGTCCCGGGTCAGGGCGAAACCCTAGGCAAGTTTCCTCACTCTACAAACACACACACACACACGCGCCTGTTCACCCAGCAGTAAGTAGGAACCCGGTTGTTAGTCGATCAGGGGATGGTTTTTGTCTCAACGACATGATAAGTCGCTATATCAAATGCGAGGACTATTATTATTACTATATTATCATACGTTCCCTGCCTCAGTCTAGTGTCCGTCAGTCTCACTGCGCGCTTTGAGACATCTCGATGGCGTGATAAGGCACTGCATCAAAATGCAAGACTCGCTAGGATTACTATTATTACTCCTATTAGTAATACGAGCAAGAAAGGTGGCAAATCAGTGTAGTTCGTACTCAATCGCTTTCTCGCATGGGTGTGGGGAACGTGAGGGAAGGGTTGAGGTATGGTGTAAATTATTTGATGACAATAATAATAATCATAATAATCCTTGCATTTGATATAGCGCCTCATCATGTCTTCGAGTCGTCTCAAAGAGCTTTACGGGTTGTACAGCAAAATGAACTGTATATTTTCTGGGCCAAAAAAGGGACAGAGAAAGAGTGTATGGGTTTTTGTACGTGTCTGAACGAGCCAGTCTTGTCCTTCCCGGTTTAATAACCTCCATGGACTCGAGCAGGGGACTGATTAAACATTGACAGCATTTTATCCCCTGACATCCAACCGCAGGCTGAGGAAGGTAATGGGTTTCAGAGCAGAGCAACCTTCATCAACCTTTACAAGCAACCTTGCAAACCTTCCCACGCGAACACACACCTGGTCCCACACCCTGCTGTTGTGAAATATCCTGTCGGGTTATAGGGATGAGTGAAGTTTGTCCAAAACAAACAGTTGTAAACTTCTTTGTCCAAGGAGTCGTCATGAACCCGACCCAGTCCCGAGTGCCCCTGAACCTGCCTCCGCTCCACTGGCTCCGGCCTTCTTCTCGTCCCTCCGTTCCACCATCGGCGACCGCTCTTTCAGCCGCGACGCCCCGAAACTCTGGAACGCTCTCCCTCTACCCCTCTCCCTGCCTTACCCCACCACCCCTTCCTTCCCTACGTCCGTGCTCCGCCTCTGGGCGCGACAGAACTGCGAGTCGTTGTTGATGAAGCTCAATGCCTCCGGTTGCTCTTACATTGACACGCAGAAACAGGAGGAGGAGGCCATTCAGCCCCTCGAGCCTGTTCCACCGTTCTACTAGATCGCAAGACCACAAGATCGGTTCGGACGAGGAAGAGCGGTGGGCCCATCTGATCTCCTGCCTCCGGGACACCCATCCCTACCGTTCCCAACAGCAACAACAACAACAATTTGCTTTCATGTAGCGCTCAAGGTAGCGTCCCAGAGCGCTTTCATTGATGAATTAGTGATGAAACGTATCTAGCCTCAGGCTGCTGGGAGGATGAGATAGCTCGGCTTGTGAAATAATAATAATAATAAATAATAATAATAATAATGATGATAATAATAAAGGCTCTTGAAATAGCCTGAATCGCAGGCCTGCTGGGGGAGATTCCAACCAGCGAACCACATCTGGAGTCAGCGCATTAACCGACAGCCCATTCCCGGTGCTGCTGTTTTCACAGGTGCGGGTTTTCCTTTTGTTTTCAGGGTAGACCGGAAAATCTTCCTGAGCGACCCGCCCTGGTCAGACACGCTCAGTCTGTCAGTGAGAGTCCGTCGGGGGCAGCCGAGGACATTACTCCGGTTCTTCACACGCGCACACACCCTGTGATATTTCCCTCGCCAGCACTCAGTGGCCTAACTCAAGCCCAACACAGGAAAATCAGGTGCAGGAGAAGGACATTCAGTCCATCCAGCCTCAGACCTTCATGATCCCACGTATCACGATCCCACTTAACCCCGGAATACTTTAACTCCGCCAATCGTCAGCCTGGTTTAGTCGGTAGCGCTCTCGCAAAGACATTGGCTGTTTGTAGGACGTTGCTGGGCGCAAATAGACTGCCACGTTCGCCCACAAAACCCACACACACAGTCACTACACTTCACAGTGAAATCCAAACCAATGCACGGATTATTTTTATCTACCCACGTGAAAACAATCATGACCCTTGGGTTTGATATTGCGCACTCCACATGTAGGAGGGACGTCTCAAAGCGCTTCACAGGAGATACGGCAGAGTGCAGTGACTGCGCGTTTTGTCGGTGGTCGCGCTGGGAGGCAAAATCCCCCCCAAACAGATTTTTTCGTCCAAGACGGGAAAAGAGAAGGGGACCGGATTTGGGACGTGAGGCTGGAGGGGAAGGGAGAGTCTTGTAATCGCACAGATTGCCGGCACTTCCCAAGTTGGGTGGAGGGAGTGTTGAGGGAGGAGGGGGTGGGGTGGGGGATGGGGATGGGGGGGGGGGGGGGGAGGGTGGTTGAGGAGATGGGTTGCCCTGCATCTGTGCGGTGAGTGAGCAAATGAAATGTCAGTGTCGTGCAGGAAGGATACTTCACTAAAATATCCTCTCGGAGACAGGATGCGATGGTGACCTGGCTATGAACTCACTAGGAACGCAGGCGGCTCACATGTCACAGAGGACAGCCTGTGTAATGTACATTACACGGCTCAATCAAGAAATAATAACCCTTGCGTTTGATACAGCGCTTTATACAATACAACGCCACCTTTACACGGCGCCTTTCGGGTCAGGAGGACGCCCCAAGGCGCTGGACAGTCAGGGATTTGGACCCAAGCGAGGGGCTTGGGGTTGGGATCGAGGAGGGTGGCCAAAGGCCTGGTCGCAGAGGACGGTCTCGTGACCCTCTCAGGTTGTCGAGACGTCTCAAGGCGCTTGACAGGATTCGCCGTAAAGTGGTGGTGACTGCGTCCCAATTCACGACCCACGAAGGTCCGTGGAGAGAGAGAGCGACCGTTTTGTCCAGGGGATTGTTGGCCAGGACACCAGGAGAGCGAGAGAGAGAGAGAGAAAGAGAGAGAGAGAGAGAGAGAAAAACTCCCTTCTCTCTAGCGCTCGGCAATTTCCCCAATTCAGGCTTCTCGTCAGATGTGTGAAGCGCTATGAGGTGTCCTCCCAACACGGGGCAATGGGATGATTGAAAGGGGACCTGATAGAGGCACTTGGTTAGGAAAGAATTTGGACAAGGTGGACAGTAACATACCTTACAGCTAACAATCCCCTAATAAGGTCACTCACTGCACTAACTAATCGTGGGACGTTAATGTTTGTGAGTTGGCTGCCCAGACCTCAAAGATATTCCCCCGATGCCCCCAACTCTTGGGGTGGAGAAAACTGCTTCCACTGGCAGGTGGGACATAGATTCAAGATAATTGGCAAAGGAACCAGAGGGGAGATGAGGAGAATTTTCTTTTTCTTTTACCCAGAGACTTGTTACGGTCTGGAACGCACCGCCTGAAAGGATGGGTGGAAGCAGATTCAATAACAACTTTCAAAAGGGAATTGGATGGGTACTTGAAGAGGAAAAACTTGCAAGGATACGGGGAGCGAGACTGATTGGGCAGCTCTTCCAAAGAGCCAGCGCAGGATGGCACTGGCTGCTCAGACCTTGTACTTAAAAAGTTTAACATCAACAGGTCATTGAGGAGCTGGGATTAGAGGGCGACGGGGGGTTCAGAACGGTAGCAAATGTGAGGACATTCACCCGACAGACAATACGGAGAGCTTTATTAATTATGGTAATAGGATTTTAAAAAAATTAAGCAATTATGCTAATGAGATTCAACGTGATTCCGCAAATTAGGTTAATTTGAAAAGAGATTTATTTCCCTGATAAATTGAAGGACCGGTGATCTAATCTTCCTAAAAGTTACAGGGTATATTTGGTGCGAAATTATTAATGAACTGCACTAATTAGTTTAATCTTGCGCACTCAGGTTGCGCTGTTCACAAAATAGCCTCTTTCTGCGTAAAATTAATCCTTGCAACTGATACAGCGCCTTTCATGTCAGGTGGACGTCTCAAGGAGCTTCACCAAAAGCGGATTAACTGTGTACTTCACGGGCAAAATGTGGCAGCCAATTCAAAGGCCCACAAGGGGATTGAGTGACCACGTTTTGTCGAGAGATTATTACCTTCCAGGACCACGATGCGCCAATCGACTAACAACCGGGTTCCTACTTACTGCTGGGTAAACAGTGGGGCGTGTGTGTGTGGAGTAAGGAAACTTTCCCAACGTGTCGCCCTGCCCTGCCCTGCCCAGGAATCTAACCGGTTCCTCTCGCTTGCGAGGAGAGGGCTCTAAAGACTACCCTTACAGGACTCCGTGCACCTTCACTGTCCCCTTCCTGACGGTTCTCAGTCACTGAGTCCGTGAGATCTATACAGCCACAGATACCATCTCTGCTCCACACTGGGGGTGCGTAGCCGATCTCAGTTGGGGGGCTGGCACTTGAGAAAAGGCATTACAATTGGCCCCAACGCCCCAGGTCAAGAAAGGGAAAAAAAAATGAGTCAAAGTTCCAGGTATTAAAATGCCGACAAAGCATGAACCATAAGAAAGACTTTACTGGGTTTCTAATGACTCAAATCCAATAAGCTAAGTGCAACTGCTGTGGCCTGAAGCTACTGTGGTACAGTGTAGCACTCCCCTCCTTGACCTCTTGTTGAAGTTGGGGTTTTTATGGTATAACGTTATCTACAGTAAACGTCCTGCCTTTTTACTGGCGGCTTTATTTTAACTTGCGGCTTTGGTTGGAGAGTCGGAGGCAATCAGGCCCAGCGGGAACTCGCAGTAAAATCATTCCTTTGGAATAGGCTGGGAAGGACGCTCTTTGTTAGGTTTCAAGGTGACTGGGGCTACACCAGGTGGAGAATGCACCTGGTCTGATAAACCTGGGGAAGGATTACCGACATCAAGGAGGTTGCCAGACGATTATTTATTCAGCTGAGCTCAGAGAAACCCGGAACTGGCTTGTACATTGAGCGGTGGACAGATTAGGGAATCAGACCCATTGTACAGGGTGTTCACAAAGTCCCCTCGTGTGTGTGTGTGTGTGTGTGTGCGTGTGTTGTGTGTGCGCGCGCGCGTGTGTTTTCTCTCTTGCAATGATTTTTTTTTTACTTTCGGTTGCAGACGATTCGAACGTAACAATGTCTGACGCCAATAACTTCCTCCGCACTCACTCATCCACGGTACAGAAGATATGACACCAAATGTAGCGATGGATCATTATTCTGCCGTGAAAATGATGGAACTCACACTCACACCCGCCCGATCCTCCAGACGTCCGATTTTGCCCCACAGTCGTGGATGGAGTGACCCCAATTTTTTTTTGTGTGGACGGATTATTACCTTATAATAATAATTATTATTATTACAATGATCGCGGTTGTGGGTTCAAGCCTTACAATCGGGACTTGGAATCACACAGTCAAGTAAAATTCGTCACTCGTTCCCACGGCTGTTTGTGGGACGCTGCTGCATGCAACGTTTCGCCCGCAAAATACACAGTCACTCCACTTTACGGTATATCCAGTGAAGCGCTTTGAGACGTCTCAACGACGTGACGAGGCGCTGTATCAAATACAAGGATTATTATTATGATGATTATTAATATTATACAGTTACAGGTGTCTGTGAAGCACAACATAATGAGCAAAACTGCCGAGGGTTTGCTCACAATTTCCTTTATCAGTACCTAGAAGACAGTTCGATGTTCCTTTCTTCTCCCAGTGCCCCACGAGCTCCATAAAAGTTAATATTTTATACCGTGTAGCGTCTCATTTACTCAGTTGTAGCTTGAGTGGTTAAATGGGTCAAGGTAGGAATATTACAAATGGAACCTTATTAAACGAGCAGCCCATTAAAATTCTGATCCAAGAATAACATATCATGGCAAACTAGTTACTCATTCATCAGGGGCTCAGTGTGTCTGATCTACACACTGATTAAAGAAAAATTGCTCACTCACTGTTTGTGCGGGGGTGGGGGGGGGAACGCTGCCGTGCGCAATTGTCTGCCGCGTTTCGCCCACAAAACACACAGTCGCTCCACTTTACGGTATATCCTGTGAAGCGCTTTGAGCCGTCTCGGAGACGTGATAAGGCGCTGCGTCAAATGCAAGGGTTATTATTGTTGTAGTATTAGTATTCTATTTGAGTCTTGTTTCTATTTAAGGGAATATTCCTCCCTCGAAAGGGAGGGAGCGAGGCGATGGGATCGTGGGATGGAGTTCCAAAGGGGATGGGGGCGAAGAGGCTGAAGGCCGGACCCCCTCGATGGATGAGAGTGAGAGTTAAACCGAGGTCCCATCCGCCCGTTCAGGCGCTATTCGAAAAGAGAAGTGAGTTTCTCTGTCCTGGCCATCAGCCCCCCGCCACCCCGCCCCCCACCCAATGCCCCCCCAGTCCTCTCCAAACCCAGGAACTTTATTCAGCTCCATTTCAAACCAACACCCATTGGGTTTGGTTGCTTCTCAAATGCCCTGGTAGGCTTTCAAGCCTGGCTCGATGGCAATCTCGACATCTGAAGTACTCACCCACTGCTGATTACAGGTTACACCACTCGCTGCATTCTCTCAAAGCCCACAATTTGCTACTGCTCAATGCTCGCGCGCAGTCTATCTAATGAAAACAGGCTCTGATCTGCCAAAAAAAGCATCCAGGAATTGTCCTCCTAATACAGAAGGAAAAGTTCCCATTCAAGCACCTTCCTGAAAGGCTCGCTAAACTGATTCGCGTTGGAGTCGAACAGAACTTAGCCTGCAATGCACACGGTCACTACACTTTAAAGTGAACGCTGAGAAGCCCTTTCCGACATCGTTCTTGCATCAAATGCGAGGATGGTTCCAACAGGAGCTGGACATGTCCTTTGGATGAAAGGTTAAGATGTTACCCTGAGTGGAGGGAGTTATATAGGTGGCGGGTGCTATATAGGTGGCGGGTGCTATATAGGTGGCGGGTGCTATATAGGTGGCGGGTGCTATATAGGTGGCGGGTGCTATATAGGTGGTGGGTGCTATATAGGTGGTGGGTGCTATATAGGTGCAAGCTTTTGTTATTAAACCGAGCTCCCCTCTGAAATCGGAATTGAAAGGGTTAGTTGAGGTACAGATCAGCCATGATCTAATTAAATGGCAGAACAGGCTTGAAGGGCTGGATGGCCTCCTCCTGTCCCTATGTTCCTAAGCTTAGACAAAGTGACTGTCAATTCTTACCTGATTTCACCGAGCAGTGGATGTGAGCTTTGGATTCGTAGTAGACCCAGTCGAAGCCCGCCTCCACGGCCAGCCGGGCCAACATGCCGTACTTGGTACGGTCCCGGTCGGATGTGGTGATGTCCACGGCTCGGCCCTCGTAGTGCAGGGACTCCTTGGAGTGATGGCCGTCCTCATCCCAGCCTTCGGTCACCCTCAGCTTCACCCCGGGCCACTGATTCATCACCGAGATGGCCAGCGAGTTCACCTTATCCTTGCATCGCTGCAATCAGAACGCAAACCATTAAGTAACAACAACAACAACAACTACACATGGCGTCGGGAGGATGTCCCAAGGCGCTGGACAGTCAGGGATTTGGACCCGAGCTGGTGGTTGGCATCGGGAGAGGAGGTGGAGGGCCGGGAGGGTGGGGGGGTCAGGAGGGTGACCGAAGGCGCGGTCGAAGGGAGGGGCTTTAGACGGGACTTGAAGGATGCGAGGGGGAGGGAATGAGGCGGAGGGATTGCAGGAAAGAGTTCCAGGGTGGGCGGGCAGAGATCCTGAATGCACTCAGCAGGTCAGGCAGCATCTATGAGAGACACCGCAACCCTTCGGCAGAACTCCGAAGTTCACAGGAATTTACCGTCGAAGTGTAGTGACTGGGCGTTTTGATTTCGGAGAAGGCGGCAGCCAATTTGCGCACAGCCACGCCACACCATGCCACACCACGCCACGCAAACAGCCGTGAATTGAACGAAAGTTTTTTTTATCTGAGTGGGGGGTGGGATTGATTGTCGGCCAGGGGACCGGCTGTGGGGGGGAGGGGTGGGGGTGGGTGGGGGGAGGGGGAGAGCGAGAGAAACTCCCTTCTCGTTTCGAAAAGCGCCGCAGAATCTTTTAACGTCCACCTGAACAGGGCAGGGACGGGGAGTGAGGTTTAACGTCTCATCCGAAGGCCAAGACTAGTGACTGTTTCTGTGTGCAACCATCCTGCCCTTTAGGCCTTTGGCTTGCGGGGCTAACACACCAACAACAACAACAACAGCAGCAGCAGCAAGTTGGGTTTATATAGCGCCCTTCTCGCCAAACGACTTCTCGGGGCTCTTTAACAGGAGGCGGGTTGGAAAGAAGCTTAACTTGTTCTTAACCGAAACGGGTCTGACAGCCAGCCTACGACCAGGTGGAATTTGGGGTGGGGGGGGCCCGTCCCTCGCCATAGCAGACCGGGTAAAAGATTCCTCGCGGATTCCACCGAAAAAAAAGCTTCTTCTCCCCCACCCCGTACGCCCCCAAACCCTCGCGGGTGCCTCGATTCACAGGCAAAAACCTCATTAACACGGAAATGAGCAGATATTCCTGTCACAGTGAAATGCTGTCGTTGACCTTCCAGTCCCAGTTGTTGTTGTATAACAAGAGCGTTGCTTTGCCCTATAGTGTAACACGATGCGCCAATCATCGGGGGACTGACTGCATTGCACCACATCCATTCTTCGGACATTTCCATCAGGCTGCACTGGTTAATGAACCCTGCTCGCTGCCCTATTTTCCTGCTTAAAGCAACACACAATCGGCCCAGGGGTGGGGAGAGAGGGTGGGAGGGTGTGGAGTGGGGTGGGGGGGATGGTACGGGGGGATGCGGGGAGTTGAGCCCCAGCTCTGCGGAGTTAACCTTTTATTAAACACGCCAAGAGCTCCCCGTCTCGCAAGCGAGAGGACCTGGGTTGGATTCCCGGGCAGGGCGAAACATTGGGCAGGTTTCCTTACCCCGCACGCACACGCACACGCACGCACGCGCGCACGCGCCTCTGTTTTTCCTAGCACTAGATTTTTCCAGGGGGTGAAAATCCGTTCGAAAGGTAATAATAATAATTTGGTCGCTCAATCCACGGCTGTTTGTGGGGACGCTGTTGTGCGCAATCGGCTGCCGCGTTTCGCGTAACATCCCACAGTGTATCCTGTGTAGCGCTTTGAGACGTCTCGAAGACGTGATGAGGCGCTGAATCAAATGCGAGGGCTATTATCTATCATATACGGGCCTGGGGGTGGGGGGCCGTGATCCCTGGCTTTGCGGAATTAACCCTTTAATACACACATCATCCTCAGGGGAGATGTGAGTGAGGGACACAGACACAGACGCTGACACTATTCGGTCCTCGTGCTTTGCACAACGCAAAATAGTGTCAGAGTCTGGATGACGTGTGTCTGATTCATTCCAACGCAAATCCAGTTATCTCACCGAACCGGGTTGCTGAACTCCTGATATTTTCTTGGCGTTCCTTCCCATACTTTACTCCTGTTTTACTTTCCTTTGGTTGCCACAAAATATATACAGTCAATTCACTTTTAAAGTACAGTATATCCTGTCGGGCGCTTTCGACGTCTCGAAGACGTGATCAGCTCAGGATCAAATGCAGCGATTCTTCTTCTTATCTGTTGTGTTGTATTGCCTCTCATTCCTTTGCCTTGTGTTGGAGTTCGTTGCATCGCAATGCCTTGCCTTTTGCCTTCCGTTGCCTTTAATCGCCTCGCGTCTCATTACCTGGAATTTCTATTTTTGCCCTTTTACTTTTAAACTGCCCAAATGTGCGTTCGATTAAAAAAAAATGCTCCCTCAACATCGCCTGCAGCCACACAATTAATTAACCTGTGTTATCTGCTCACCAGCTTCAATTATTCGTCAACCAGTTACAAACGAGACGTTAATTGCTAATATTTTAGGCAAATTCATTTAACCCCTTCTTTTCGCGCACGATTTGGCGTGCACGCCCAGGCCCTCAGTCGTCTGAGCTGGGAGAAGAATTGCAACCGCGGTTGAGGTGTCCACATGTGTTTGCCCATTTGTTGCAGCCCATAGCTGTGTCTCACGGTGTGTCAGATGAACCTTCCTCGCAGTGCCCGGTCAGCATGTCCACATTATAGGGAGCGTAGGAGGAACTTATAATAATAATAATAATAATAATCCTTGCATTTGATATAGCGCCTTATCACGATGCTCAAAGACATCTCAAAGCGCTTGACAATATATACCGTAAAGTGAATTGACTGTATCTTATGCAGGGGTCAATTGCGCACAGCAGTGTCCCACAAATAGTCATGGATTGAGTGACCAAATTTTTAAGGGGGGAGAGGGGAGGGATTATTACCCCCCAGAAAGTGATCCGCCAGTCAACTAACAACAGGGTAAACTGCTAGGTAAACAGAGACTTGGGGTGGTAAGGAAACTTGCCCAGCATTTCGTCTGCCTGGGAATTGAACCCAGGTCCTCTCGCTTGCACTAACCACTGAGCTACAGGACAAAGCACCGTCTCGGGCACCACACCCCGTGGATCAGGGGTGAAATTGGCAGCCAGGGTCCCGGCAATATCCTCCCTCCTCCTTTCTCCCTTCCGTCTTACACCGCGCCCTTCAACCCGGATGGAGTCTCAGAGCGTTTAGCTCTTTGGTGGAGCCTGACTCCGAGCTAGGGGAGAGAGAGCGAGAGAGAGGGAGGGTGTAAACGCAGGTGCTATCGAAGAGGATGGTCTTCAGTTGGGATCTGAAGATGGGCAAAAAGGGAAGGGCGAGGCCGAGAGGGTAGAGGCGGAGGGGTGTGTGGGGGCGCGGTGGCTGAAAGCGCGGCTGCTGATGGTGGAGCGGAGCGAACGATTGAAGCGGAGGAGGCCTTTGGCCAGGAACAAAAAAAACCTCGGGCTTGCGGATGAAATGCAACCAGCCTCGCAATCCTCATCCACCCCCAGTGCAGCTCGAGACAGAAGCCTGAGAGACGGCTGCTTATTATGCATGACATGCGCTGACATTTCGCAACATCCCACGCCTGCGTGATAATGAAACCGCTGACTGCTAGTCCGACCGACAAGCAGACTCCTTTTGTGGGCCTTTTTTTTTTCCGCGTGCGTGTAAGGTCGGATGTTCAGAATTCCTGTCTGGGTTGCTGACCCCCCACAGCTGGGCAGATGGCGGGGGGGGGGGGGGTAAAAGGCACCAACACTTGAGCCAGGAAGATCTCAAGCCCGATCTGAGCTCCAACGGTTAACTCAATCGAGAGTAATCAGATGGCTCGGTGGAGAACACCCCTTGCCTCTGCTTTGTCCCTGTCCAGTGCACGTTAAAAGATCTTTGGAAGGATATTTGTTAGGTCAGGGTATTAAGGGAGCAAGGGTGGGTAGCTGGATGTGAGATACAGATCTGCCATGATCTTACAGAATAATAATAAATTGGCCACTCAATCCGCGACTGCTTGTGGGACACTGCCGGGCGCAATTGCAGCCGCGATTCAAATGCAAGGATTATTCTTATTGCTGCGCGCCGAGGGTTTAAATGTCCCTCAACTGGGTTCCTACATCCCCGGGCGAGGGAAGAGTCGGACAAGCAGTGCACCTAAAGACTACTTTCAGAGCGAACGAGTGCCCCGGGGGAGAAGAGAACAGAGGGGAAAACAGGCAGGAAAAATAGTGTGGTCTTTGGCCAGGGGTTGGCTGTTTTGAAGCCATCACAATCCCTCTGATGTTTATTCTGTCACATGTTGGCGTGCTCCACTGAAAAGTCTCTTCCAAGTAGATCCAAGTTCAGTGGACAAAGCCAATGTGTGACCATCTACCTTGCGTGACTGCAGTCCTGTTATTTGACTCTTTGGTTACTGGGGAAAATGCAACAGCTCATTATTTTACACTAACCAGCGTTAATTTTTAATAGCTTTCTCCCTCTCCCCTCCCCCCCGCCTGTGAGCCTCATAATCTCCTACCCCTGTAGTCTCCCCTCCTATCCCCTCTGCATTTCTGAATAATAATAATAATGCATTTGATACAGCGCCTTATCGTGTGGTCGAGACGTCCCAAAGCGCCTCACAGGATACACTGTAAAGTGAATTGACTGTGTATTCTGCGGGCGAAACGCGGCAGCCGATTGCGCACACAGCAACTCGCCAATCGACTGACAACTGGATTCCTATTACTTCTGGGTAAACAGAGGCATGTGGAGTAAGGAAACTTGCCTAAGGTTTATCCGAAGTACTCCAGGGCTCTGCGATGATAGCACAGCCAGCCTGGCTCATCGGCAGGACCTGGCAGGGCAGACCGGTCACTGGGGATGTCCACCTGACGTGAAAGGCACTATATAAATGCGATGTGTTGTTGTTGTTGTAAGTGTGAGACACCTGCCCTCTCTCGCTCCCTATGACCAAACGGATCAATTTCAAAACTCTCACCCTCCCCTTCAAATCCCTTCATGCCGTGGCACATTCCCGCCTCCCCGACCCGTTCATTCCCCAACCCACTACCCACTGC